GCCTGGGTACTAGAAGAATATAGGGTAGAAAATTCAATAGCTCAGATCCACACTGTAAGAAAGGAAGACACATAGACAACATGAAAAGACAAGGGAGGAAAGTGCCCCAAACAAACCAGGACACTGTAATTACAGAACCCATGGACAGTGAAGTTGATGAAATGTCAGAGAAGGAATTCAGAAGGTTCATAATTAAAATGATCTGTGAATTAAAGAATTACCTAAATAAGCAAATACAGGCAAAAACTGATCACTCCAACAAAGAGACAAGAGAGCAAATACAGGTAGAAAAAGATTACTTCAAGAGAGAGATGGAGACTGAAAAAAAAATAATCAGAAATCCTTGAAATAAAGGACACAATAAACCAAATAAAAAACTCAATACAAAGCATAACAACAGACTAGATCACTTGGAAGAAAGAACATCAATCAATGAAGAAAGAAAAGATAGCCTCTTCAACAAATGGTGCTGAGGAAATTGAAGATCCATATGTAACAAAATGAAATTAAACCCCTATCTCTCACTGTGCACAAAACTCAACTCAAAGTGGATCAAGGACCTAGAAATTAAACCAGAGACAGTCTATTAGAAGAAAATGTAGGTCCAAATCGCCATCATGTCGGATTAGGTCCCCACTTCCTTAATAAGACTCCTATAGCAAAAGAATTAATATCAAGAATCATTAAATGAGATGGATTCAAACTAAAAAGTTTCTTCTCAGCACAAGAAACAAATCAGTGAGGTAAATAGAGAGCCTACTAATTGGGAACTAATTCTTACCACAGGCACGTCAGATAGAGCACTAATCTCTTGAATATATAAAGAGCTCAAAAATCTTAACACCAAAAAAACAAATAACCCAATCAATAAATAGTCTAAGGACCTGAACAGATACTTCTCAGAAGATATACAATCAATCAACAAATATGCAAAAAAATGTTCAACATCTCTAGTAATTAAAAAAATGCAAATCAAAACTACTCTAAGATTTCATCTCATTCCAGTCAAATGGCAGTTGTTAAGAATACAAACAACAATAAGTGTTGATGAGGATGTGGGGGGGGGGGGCAAAGGCACACTCATACATTGCTGGTGGGACTGCAAACTGGTGCAGCCAATAAGGAAAGCAAAATGGAGAATCCTTGGAAAACTTGGAATGGAACCACAATTTGCCCCAGCTATCCCAATCCTAAAATCCCAAAGGACTTAAAAACAACATACTACAGGGACACAGCCACATCAATTTTTATAGTCTCACAATTCACAATAGCTACACTGTGGAAGCAACCTAGATGCCCTTCAGTAGATGGATGGATAAAGAAAATGTGGTATGGATACACAATGGAATATTACTCATAATTAAATGGAATAAATTCATGGCATTTGCAGGTAAATGGATGGAGCTGGAGAATATAAAGCTAAGAATATTGGAAATTAGCCAATCCCCCAAAATCAAAAGCTGAATAATTTCTCTGATTAAAGGATGCTCATTCATAATATGCTGCGGGGGCTGGGGAGAGGATTAAATGAACTCTAGATAGGGCAAAGGGGAAAGGGGGAGGGAGTGGAAGGGAGGGGATATAGGGGTAGAAAAGACAGTGGAATGTGGTGGTCATCATTACCCTAAGTACATGTATAAAGACACAAAGGATGTGAGGTCTACTTTGTGTACAACCAGAGATATGAAAAATTGTGCTCTATATGTGTAATATGAATTGTAATGCATTCTGTTGTCATATATAAAAAACTAAAATATTTTTAAAAATTAAAAAATAAAAAAGCAAAAAAATTAGTTACAGTTATATATGTTCTGTTGGTAATTTTAAATGGTAGGCAAATTTGTTGAATAAACTAAAATTTTAGCTATATATTTAATATAAATGACATAACTAAACTTAAGTTCCTCTGATAGATTAAAAGGATAAAAACATTAAATCTGGCAAAATAATACTAGTAAATTGGAATGACAATAATAGTTTTAAACAAGGTTAAATTCACAGCAGATAATATCACATAAATCAAAGAAGGTCACACAATTTACAAATATTTCTAGAAATAGAAATATTTGGCATCTCTATAATACTGACTCCTTCTTAGAAAAGAAAATGTTATGAAATGTATTTAACTTTTAGTTATTCTTAAAAGAGTGTTTACCTTTTGCCTTGTATTTCTTTGTATTAATAGAAAGAGAAGTAGCCTTTTTGTAAATAATAATAATGATAATATTTGCACAAACCTTTCAACCTAGCAATTCATTTGGGACTCATTGCTGCACTTATGTAAGGATTTGCATGTAATGTGCTTACCACCACTGGATTAGAAGACTATGGGGGGGGGCGGAGGGGGAACGTGTATATATCCAAAAGTGAATGGCTGCATGAATTTGGTATACCCAAGCCCGAAGCTAGTAGAAATAGTCAAGAGATGGTTCATATATAACCTATTAAGGACTACTCTTCAGGGTACAGATTCATAACCAATTAGTGCTTCTTAAAACAAACACACACAATACCTCATTTCCATACATGCTTGTTTCTGTTTGATTAAGTGCAACACAAGTCAAAGAATGCCTACCATTGCTTATTTCTCATAGCAGGATTTTATAAGTTTAGAAAGGTTTTTGGTTTTTTTCCTTAAAAACATCTCTTTACTCTGATTTGTCACAAGAAGCAAGGATTATTTTGGTAATGTAAGAAAGAAATTTTAGGGCCTCGAGAAACAAATTAAAAAAATAGCTTTTCCCGGGGGTTTTACATAGTAGAATAAATGTGAATATAGGAGACACATAGTATTATTCTAGAACAGGAGGTGGCGAGGTGCCCCTACAACTCCATTTATGTGTTTCCTGTCTTCTAGGTTAGGGTACGCCAACTTGTTCTATAAAGGACCAGATTGCAAGTATTTTAAGCTTGGAAGGCCATATGGTCTCTGTCACTACTACTCAACTCTGCTCTTAAGGCACAAGCTCTGCCATAGGCAACTTGTAAACAAATAACAGTAACTGTGTTCTAATAAAGCTTTATTTGTGGGCTCTGAGATATAAATTTTCTGTAGTTTTCATCTGTCACAAAATATTATTATTTTTTTCAAATTTACTACATAAGAATTTAAACAGTATTCTTCGTTCATGGGTTTTCTAAAAACAGGCTTTGGGCCATAGCTTCCAACCCCTGTTTTAGATACTCCAAGTGTAACTGGAAATGTGCTACTGGAATTAGGTCCTGTTGTCCAAGGCAGAAAATGTCACTGGAACCATGCCGAGCCCAGTACCCAACTCAGACAAGATTAGCTGTCACTCCTAGGTGGTCTGAATCATGGAATCTGGAAAATACCTCCTGCCTTTCCTGATGAGGTGAACTTGACTACTTTAGCAGCTCTAATTCTGTACTTGGAAACCTCATTCTCTACTGAAAAAAAAAATGCTAAAATTCTAAAGCGGGAAAAAATGCATTAGGCTATGCTATCTTTCACTATGTGAAATTGTGAAAATGATTTCCCCTAACAACTGTACCCAGAAAATGGAAGTTTTAATGGAGTGGATGAGAGGATGAAAGCCCCCATTTATATAATAGATCCCACAGAGAAAGGCCCTGTGGAGTCTCGAGGGCCCAGTGCTATCAGCCAGAGGTCCTAAGGAGGCAAGGGGCTGGGCGAGAGAGAGTGAGGAGACACAGGTGAGGGAGGGGTGTGGAAATTGGGGCTTGAGGGAACACGAGGTCAAACAAAACCTGTGAAATGATTGACCCAGAACATATCCCGGTTTTCCGACTAAAGTTAAAACTGAATAAAACAAAGGCATTTGAGGGGAAAAGAGGAGAACCATGAGAATCATTTCCATTTCTCTTGGGATTTCTGGCAAGGAATCTCTCTATGGTTTAGCTGCAGAATGAAGAGGGACAACCTGCTTGATAAAACCTGATAAAACTGTAGAGAATACGCCCTAGATGTAAGCCAGGATATTGTAAAGTAGGGATGCTGAGAGTATAGTCGGTGGAGAAATGTTTTAAAAATAAATCTGGAGAAGACTGTGTTCAGCCTGGTGTTGAAGGCTCATTTTCTGTAGAGCCATTTCAAGTCCTAAATATTCTAATGTAATCTGTTAACCTCCCAGAGGAGCTAACAAGCTCACCCTTCCAAACACCATCTGAAGACAATATGGGGTGGGGGATTGACATATGTGTGCATTGTCCCTCAGGAATAATCCCTTCAACATGGTTTTTGAAAAACACCATTTTAGTTATAACCTTCTTATGATGAAATTTTCCCTAAAATAAAAATCACCCAATCTATGAGGAATAAACTAAATTTATATTTACATGCAATTAACAGATTGGCCTTCCTATGACACCAACTGTAGGAGATATTTACACAAATTCTTTTTAAAAAAACTAAAGCTTCAACTTACTAAAGGGGTTTTATGTTTAAAAATTTGTGTCACTTCTAATAACTCAGAAGTTACTTACTAACAGAAACTAATTAAAAAAAATAGTAGCTAAGTTCCTAATCAAGCCTGCTAATTTTATCAATAAAGTCAAAATTACTGATGATGCAATACAACTTGGAAAAAATCACTATTATTTAAATAAAAATAATTACATAGAATGAAAATGCAGAAATACCTTTTTAAAAAATATTTTTTTTAGTTGCAGATGGACACAATATCTTTATTTATCCATTTTTATGTGATGTTGAGGATAGAACCCAGTACTTCATACATTCAAGGCAGGCACTCTACCACTGAGCTACTGCCCCAGCCCCCAGAAATACCTTTTTGAATGCTACATTAAATTTAATACTTCTGCAGAAAAAAAAAACCTAGTGGATGAAGTTAAAAAAGTTTAAAAAAATTATGAAGGTAATTTTGTGGTTTGCCATAAGCTTGAGGTATTTGTTTTTAATTGTAATAATTTAAAGTAAAATTGTTTTAACAAAATATATAAAATAAATATTATGAAGAATGTAAAGCTGGCGCCGGCGCGGTGCCCGCCAGGGCGCGCGGGGGAGCTCTCGGGGCGCCTGCGCAGTGCAAGACCTGCCGCTCTGGTGTCGCCGCCGCCGCTGCCGCAGCTGCCGTTGCCGCCTCCCTGCCTGCAAGTGTGTGAAGGAGGAGCCGAGGGTCGCCGCCGCTGCCACCGCCATGGGGAGAAAGTCAAGCAAAGCAAAGGAGAAGAAGCAGAAGCGGCTGGAGGAACGTGCAGCCATGGATGCTGTCTGTGCCAAAGTGGATGCAGCCAACAGGCTTGGAGACCCTCTGGAGGCTTTCCCAGTGTTCAAGAAATATGACCGGAACGGGTTGAATGTCTCCATTGAATGTAAGCGGGTGTCTGGACTGGAGCCAGCCACCGTGGACTGGGCGTTTGACCTGACCAAAACGAATATGCAAACCATGTATGAGCAGAGTGAGTGGGGCTGGAAAGACCGAGAGAAACGGGAGGAAATGACGGACGACCGAGCGTGGTATCTCATTGCTTGGGAGAACAGTTCTGTGCCTGTTGCCTTTTCTCACTTCCGATTTGACGTGGAGTGCGGGGATGAAGTCCTGTACTGCTATGAAGTGCAGTTGGAGAGCAAAGTGCCGCGGAAAGGCCTGGGGAAGTTCCTCATACAGATCCTGCAGCTTATGGCCAACAGTACACAGATGAAGAAGGTGATGCTAACAGTATTTAAACACAATCACGGTGCCTACCAGTTCTTCCGAGAAGCACTACAATTTGAAATTGATGACTCTTCTCCCAGCATGTCTGGCTGCTGTGGGGAAGACTGCTCCTATGAGATCCTGAGCCGGAGAACCAAGTTTGGGGACAGCCAGCACTCCCACGCAGGTGGGCACTGTGGCGGCTGCTGTCACTGAACTCCCAGAGCCACTTACGTCAGAATCTGCTCTCCTAAGGCCTGTCTTCTCCCCTGGTCTCACGTCACTTGCCAGGTGCCCTAAGAGCTGTGGTCTCCTCAACCCTGTATGTACCAGATGGCACCCTGAGAGCACAGAACCCTGGGGAGGAGTGGTCCACGCTGCCCCGTCTCCTCTCTCTTGGAAGAGCACAGTGCCAGGAGGGAATGGAGGGAGAGGGTGCTACAGGAAGACCACTGCGGGCCGGCGGGAAGCTCCTCTCTTGTGGCTGCCTCCTTACTCCACTCAGAAGGTTCCCCTACTTCCCCACAGTTGGATTCCTGGTGGACCTTCCCCTTCCCTGGACAAATGGAATGTTTTATCCACTCTTGTGAAAGTTTTAAGAGTCCTGGTCTGGGGTCTGCTGGGCCCCAAAGAGGACTGGACTTTGTATGATCCAAGTGCAAAGCAAGAGAGAGAGACCCTGGTTCAGAGAGACCCTGGCTCCCTTACTTCTCGATCTCATGGATGGCGCTCGTGTGGAGACTGCATAGGCCTTCTACACCAAGATACAGGGAAGCTCTTTCTAGCCACATGCTTGTAGATCCACAGAGTGGAGTTGTCCAGGGACCGGCCAACCGGAAGGCTGCCTCTCTCCATTGCTGTCAGGGAGGGCGGACAGGACCAGCCAGGTGTCCTGGGGGCTAACATGGGGATGCCTGCTTCTCTGGGCTCTTAGACTTTGCTGCATTCTAAGCTTGACCTCTTGATCTCATGGCGGTGACTTGAGCTTTTAATTCAAGAAGAAAGCCAGAGGCCCTGCCTGTTCCTCTCCATTGCCCTCTCGACACTTTCTCCCCTGCCTCTTGCCTCCACCCCAGATACCTCTGTTCTTAGTCTCAAGGGGGGAGTAACATCAGGGAGCCTCTTGTCTTCCCCCAGAAGGATCCCTTGTTCCTGGTGTAGTTGATACTTTCCTCTCACCTGTTGGTGCTGATATCTCTCTGAAGGTGGGATGTCCCACCGCTGTCCTCCCTCTTCAGAGAGCCCCCAGCCAGCAGCAGGCCCCTCTGCCTGCACCCCCAGCCTCACCCCTCACTGTTTCAGTGAGGCACTGGTGCCACTGTCCTGGCCAAGCCGGGCCACAGCTCAGCTGCAGCAGGAATGCCCTTCAGTGGCCCAAACAGCTGCTCTGCTTTTCTCTCTGGTGTCATCCTGTGTCAGCAGGTTGGAGCAGTGGGAGAAGGCCTTCCTCTTAGAGGTGTAGAGGATGTGGGCTCTGAACTTACACTCATCCTGATCTCTAGGCCTTGTTCCTCTTCCAGAAGAAAAACCAAATCTTTATCCAGGAAAAAGCACCTAACACCTCCCTTTTGACGTCCCAAGCTTTGCTTCAGGGAATGTCGTGAAGGTTCTAGCCTTTGTGCAGTTGTCTCCTAGGGGGTCCGTCAGCCCCTCTGCTGCTGGAGTCTGCTCACTCCACCCTCTGCCCTTACTCAGGTGGTCTGTCCTGGCAGATCTCATTAGAGTGGTCCTTGCTTCTCACCCAGAGTCCTGCCTGCATAGCAGCCTGTGCTCATGAGGCCTCGCTTCCCAGCCTGGCCTCTGCTGAGAGCCTGGTGCTGCTCTCGACCCCACCAGCAGCGGGCCTGGCACTCCTGGGAGAGGGCCTCGCAGCTTTACACTGGATACGGCCACGGTCGCCTTGCCTGCTGGCTCCCTGGGGTTTTACCCCAGTGAGAGTTGAACTTTTTGGGTAGGGGTTGGCAAACTCCTAAGAATCACAAAACAACAAGAGCACGTTTAGGAAGAGTCTGATCCCTGTCTCAAAGTACAGAGTGCTAAATATTTATTGTCTTAGATCATGAATTTCTGATACCTCCCACTCAAGGGGACCAAAAGGAACCCCCAGTATAGACCCCATTTGAGGTGAGCTCAGTTTATGTTGTCTCTTTCCAGTCATTGGTAATGGGATGCTCAGGGCCATGCCCTGCTTCCCCCAGCCTCTGCAGGCCATGTCCCAGAGGCGGCATCAGGAGGTTAGGCTGGGAGGTTAGGCACTGGCTGAGACTGCAGGTGTGGGTGTTGGGCCCTCATGTCTCAGATGGCAGTTTCCACCTCCCTTGGGTCTTGGTTTTGAGAAACAGCAGGCCTTTTTTGTTGGTTTTTTTGTTTGGGGCATGTTAAGATATATTTTTAAGTTTTTTTTTTTTTTAAGTTGTATCTGCTCTATTTCAGGTTATTTGTTGGTGTCAGCTATGTATGGTTCTTTTTAACCCTTTGTGTTTTTTTAGAGAAAACTTGGAAGATAAACTTCTTGATATATATATTTTTTTCTTTAGCAACTTGTTATCACTGGAATCAAAGGGAAAAGTGATCTCTTTTTTGCATTGGTTGTATTTGTATGTCACAAATAAAAGACACTTTGTTCAGCTGCAAAAAAAAAAAAAAAAAAAAGAATGTAAAGCTACACATAATTTTTAAAAAATTTATATTGTTAGATTATTTTCTTTGCCTACCCATATGTCTTTCAGAAAGATTTTGCTTTAATATTATTTATTCTTTTTAACATCATTTATTTAAGTGTAACAAATACAGAAAAGCAGGTAGAGAAAACACATTCACCTTGATGGATTACCACAGCATAATCACCCTAAGAGCCACCACTCAAGAGAACAACATTGCAAGAACCTACCTTAAACCCCCTCCTCGTCAAAGGTACCGTGATGCTTGCTTCTACCAGAATATAGCTACTTTTGCAAGTTTTGAGATTTATGAGAAGGAATAATATAGCATGTCATCTTCTGGTTTTTCAAGTCAGTATTCTGTTTATGGGATTTGTCCAGATACTTATGTATTGAGATATATATATATATATATATATATATATATATATATATATTGCCTTTACTGGTGCATAGTACACTAGTACACTGCGGTATGACTATATCATCATTCAGTTATTTGTTTCTGTTTTGTTGATAATGAGCAGTGGAATAGTTGGATCACAGGGACAAAGAACATTCACATTCAGCAATTAAGGCCAAACAGACTGACAAAGTTGTCCTGATTTACATTTCCACTGGAGTTTCCATTGTGTCCTGAACTTGCTAACATTCGGTACCATCGGTTTGCTTCATTTAGCCATTATGGTACACGTGTGGTCATTTGTTATGTCTTAATTAGCATTTTTCTAATTTCTGCAGTCAAGCAACATTTTATATATTTGATGAACATTTGTGTATCTTCTTTTGTGTTCAAGACATTTGTCCTTAATTTCACCGGATTATCTTTATTATCTTTAATGACCCTTCACATAGTCTAGATATAATCCCTATCCTATGTTTCAACCCTTTCTTGTTAATATTTGGATGAGTTTATCAGGATATGCTGGTGGAGAAAAAAAACTCTACATATCAATAGATGTATACAAAAATACTTAGATGTGCTGCAGGCCATTGGGTTTGGGGACAGCTATTTTTTCCACATAGTTACTCCAGGGCCCCAAATGACAAGTGCTACACCATGTAGAGTGCTGCTGCTTTCTATGGCCAGTAAATCACAGAAAACTGACAAATTTAAATGAGAAATTTGAACTTTTTTTTGTGTGAACAAATTCTTCACAAATTGTTGATAGACCTTTATTTCATCTTTATGTGGTGCTGAGGATCGAACCCAGTGCCTCACACACACTAGGCAAGCGTTCTACCACTGAGCCACAACCCCAGCCCTATGGACATGTCTTTTTAATATCAGAATCTTGCACTTGAATCAGTAAGATGCAGTTCCTGGTGGAGGATTTTAAGTGATGATATTTTCAAGTTCTTGATATGATCATTAATAAAACTTGATGCATAATAAATTTGCAGGAAGAAAACAAAATGACCACAGATGAACTTGTATTTGAAGATTCCAAGAACATTTTTTTCCTTTTCTTGACAAATCAATGTTGAAATTGCTCATGAAAATGGGAATAGATTTTGAATCCAATTCAGTTCTGTCAACTGTTTCAAATTACGATGAGGTCTGATTTGTAGCCACATCTTGAAACTAGCATAAACACTATAAAGGGGGAATATCTGCCCCAGACAGATACCTGTATGCTCTTTGTGAGAACAGAAATTCAGGGATCTAGGTTGCTTCCCTCACCAACAGTCCCTGCCCTCCTTGCTGGATAATCTCTCTAACTGCATGAGTTAACCTTTGGGTACCTGAAATATATGCTCCTGCAACAACAGCCCTCTTTACTTGATGAACAGCAATACACTCTAACTGGCTGCTCAAGTCATCAAGTGACTGACTGCTGAACAGTGTGTGGCAGTGAGGTAATGGGGGCCAGATGGCATTCATCCAGCTTGCCACCTTCAGAGAACTGAGAAAGAACAGCTATGCTTGGAAAAGTTCTGCAGGGAGGTTTGTGCTAAGGCAGAAGCAACAAGTGGTAAGATGTATCTGGCCAAGCTCCCTAGTGCTGGACTCTGACTCTTTCCACAATGTGCTGGGCACAAATTAACTGGACTCTTTAGGCAATTATAAGGACATTCTTTCTATTTAACACATGATGAAGCGAAGGCACAGAAAGATCAGATGCCATATGCAGAGTGACACAGAGGGCTAAGTGAGGAGTCAGGCACCTGGTTCTATAGTTGTTGCTCCAGCCCATCACCTTCAACAAATGTCCCATGATTTGCTCAAAGTGAAACCCATCACACAATTCCAAAGAATGGCCAAGTTGTGTGTGAGTATCAACTATCTTCAGTGTGGGAATAATTTTATATGATTTAGCTGCATAAATTTAATAAAATAAGAAATAAAGTTATTATTCTTTAGAATTCAGGTGCATAGAAGTGACATAATCAGCCACAGTATATTTCACACTATAGTACTTACTTCTTACTTCTTATATTCATATTTAATTCATTCATTTTGCCTTTATTTTCCTCACTTTCATCCCTTTGAACATCCCTAATAGCACCTCATATTCACCCCAAATCATCAAGTCACCATACACTTTGTGAATCCCATTTACATGATAGCTTTTGGTGACTTATCTTTTTATGTTTTCAAATTTTTCATTCGAAATATTTCTGTGAGTTCTCACACTGTCCCTCATAAGTATAGTAATTTCCTTTACACTGCTACATGGTACCCCATCATTTCCAATACCACATTTTATCTACCCAGGTATTGTGGACAGACCTTACAATTGTTGCCCACTCTGGTTGTCTAACCATGCTGGACAGTCTCTTTGTGTAGAACAATTTTCCTCAAGAATATATCTCAAGGAATAGCGTCAAGTCACATTCTGTGTACAGATACTAATTCACCCTGCAGAAAAGTTGGACCTAACTATATTTAAGAAACAGAGAGAGATCCAATTTCCCACACTTATATCTGACCTTAATCTTAGCAGTAAAAAGTAGCATTTCATTGCTTTTGCTTTTATTAGTTTGAGAATTTTCCTCACTAATGAGATTGAATAATCTTTATCATTTTTTAGCTATTATGTTCCTTCCTACAGATTTTTAAATTACATCCTTTCTTGGCTAACTAGTAGCACTCCTGCCTCATTATTTCTAAATTGAAAGAATTTCTTATATATTCAAGATTTTAATCCTTTTTATTCATATTGTATACTAGAATCATCTCCTAGTCTATGACCCGTCTTGTTATTTTTGCCCATGGGAATGATTGGTATAATAGAAATTGTTACTTGTGTGTTATTCAAAATCTTCAAATTTTCTCTTCATATACTGTATTTTATGCATTTTTTATGTTTTTACATTTTCTTGAGGTTTAACATGCACAAAAGACATAGATTCCAATGAATGTTTACATATGTGCAAATCCTTGTGACAATCACGCAAAGCAACACATAGAACATTTTTAGCATCTGAGAAGGTTCTTATATGCATTTTACAAAAAAAAAAAAAAACCCACACTCCTGTCCTCCCCCTCTGTCCTATGCTGTCATTCACATGTTTGTTCTTCAGCTTCATATAAAGGGGATCATACGTTAGGCAATCCTTCGTGTCTGGATTCATGCACTCATTGCTACCACAGTGAGATTCCTATACATTGTGGGCAACAGAAGTTCTATTTGTCCATGTGCAGTTTTACACTGAATAAATTGTTTTGGTTAGCTTTTTCACTTTGTGACCAAAGACCTGATGAAAACAATTTTAGAGAAAGAAAAGTTTATTAGGGGTTCATGACTTCAAAGGTCTCAGTCCAAAGACAGAGGACTCTTGCTTTCTGCCCAAAATGAGGCAGAACATAACATCATGGCAGAAAGGTGTGGAGGAGGAACAGCTCAGGACATGACTACCAAGAAGCAGAGAGAGATTGCTACCCTTATCACAGACAAAATATAAACCCCAAAGGCTTGCCCTCAGTGCCCCATCTCCTCTGGCCTCACCCTGTCTACAGTTACCACCCACTAATCCCTATCAGAGAACTAATGCACTGATTAGGTTAAGGTTCTCAAAACCAATCATTTCACCTCTAAACTTTCTTGCATTGTCTCATACATGAGCTTTTTGGGGACAGCTCATATCTAAACCATAACATAAATAGACCACAATTTATCCATTAATTAAAAGTTAATGGTTCCAATTTGGTGCTATTATAAACTGTTATATATTATATATAACAGACTTTTCAAACACATTTTGTATATAAATCTTTAAGTGGATACATGCACTCATTTCTCTTTAATAAAGTTTTCTATAATGCTATGGATATATAAAATTTCTAGGTCAAGGGATGTGTATGTATTTGGTACTAATAGGTATTACAAAACCAGTTTTCAAGTGGTTGTCCCAGTTAGCACTCCAAAGAGCAATATCCAAGAGCTCTAATTGTTCCTTGCCATGATTTTGTGTTGTTGGTCTTCTTGATTATAGCCATTCTCATGAGTGTTTAACAGAATCATATTGTGCTTATTCTTTGTGTCTAAATATTTAACTTCAATTCTCTGGTTTTTAACTAATTGGTATGAGGAACATTAAGTTGAGAGTGCTACTGTAATAATTAGTACACATGGACAATCAGTATGCCCCAGGCAATTTCCTGTTCCAAGAGAAGATTATTACCATTTTTTGTTTTTGTTTGTGTTTTAGTACTGGACATCAAACTTAGGGCCTTGCATATAATGGGCAAGCACTCTGCCACTGAGCTATACCCTAGCCCTTTTTTATTTTATTTTGAGTGAGGGTCTTAATAAGCTGCCATGACTGACCTGGAACATGTGATACCCTGCCTCAGTCTCCAGAGTAGCTGGGATTACAGGTGTTCAACACCAGATCCAGCAAGATATTATTATTTAAGAATATTTTCTAATGTGTATATTAACTTTAATCAACTTTATTTTCAACATCTGGTTATGCATAAAATTCTTTATTTTAATGTTTTCATTGTCTAATGTGTTACC